GTAAGTGTAGTTCTCTCAAAATATGCGGAGCATTATGAGATTATTTATGCATGCTTTCAAACTACAGTGGTCAAGTTTTAAAGTTTGCAAAAAAAAAAAACAAAAAAAAAAAACAAAAACAAACACACAAACAAAAAACAAAACACGGCGACAAGCATTGTTGGCACTAGGTTGCTTGTTGTTGACGATCCAAAGACAATGAGTTTAATTTTCCATTGAAAACTAACATAACTCTTACAAATGTGTTCTCTGGTAACATCTTTGCCGCCTAGAGAAATTACATGATTTACATAATGTCACATGATACTTGAAAATTTGCATAATCTTGAATTAGCCGCTACACCCCATGCGAGACAAGGTGGAGCATACAATACAAGGCTAAGCGAAAAATTACTTAATGTTCAATCAAAATGTTCAAAGTTCAATTTGTTAACTCAACAATAGATGACTGTCTATATGGACTTCTTAGCTTGTAGCTTGTTCGCTGTCTTTCATCGTGGATGCTTCTTCCAATAGACATAACTTCTGGATTGGTCTCTTAAGCGTGGATGTCTGCGTCCTAACTTCAACAGTTCTGACTAACCCGTCCCGACCGGTACTTGTAATGACGATGCGTCCCAAAGGACACTTTCCGCGAGGTGATGACTCATCGCTGTTATATGATGTCTACTTTAGCAATCTGGCCAAACTAATATGTTTTCTTTACAAGAAAATACTACCTTGACAGATTTGCCTTTGCATCCCTTTACTGACTGTTAACACGAATGTGATTCAGTCCTCAGTTTTAGTTTTGTTTACTAGGTCTTTGTTCTCTCTAAGCGGATAATAATGCACACAGCATCACTATCTTAAAGTGTTGGTAATTTCAAGCTGAGCCTGTTTGCAGGACTAAGTGACTTTAGCCTATTGGTAACCGCCTTGGAGACATCCCACATGGACGAGTACCTGGAGGTTGAAGTCTTCAAAATGAACACTCCTTTGAAACTTTTAGAAATCTCGAAATTAGTGAATGACAGCCAAAACAAGTTGGATTCTCAGATTCTAGTGTTGTAGAGATGGCAGGATGATAAGTGTTGATGGTCCTAGAGCTCTTAACCTTGTTGAAGCTTTGCACAGATAGCAAGCTAACACCATTGATCGAGGATGGCTGAAGTAGATTAATCTATAGTTGAACACTCCAGGTACACCACTTATCCCATATCCCTTTCTATGGCTTCTCAGTCCCAGATGTCCATTAGTCGCAGATTGTTGACTTCGCAGAAAGGCTTCTAGACAGAGAGATTCCCTGATAAAATTCAGGCAGTTAAGTTTCGAGCTTGATGGATGGATCTTCTTGCTGTGAGGGAGGGTTAGCAAATCCTGGCGATAAGGGAGAAGTATTAGTACATCCATGAGCAGCTGGGTACCAGTGTTGCGTGGGTCATATTGCTCCTGAATGGCCATACAGGAGCAATTAACAAGACTTGGGTCTGGTCTCTTTGGTCCAAAAGAACAGCTGCTTGGAACTCTGCTGATATTTGTCGTTAAGTCGTTGAGCTATGGGACCGTAGGCATCGCCTCTCCTCAAATAAAATTTGGTTAATTAGCATAAACGTTTAAAGTAATAAAAAATGCAAAATAAGTTAATAAATTAAAAGGGATTATCAAGAACTGTGAACTACGAAAGTTTGAGCTTTTTATATGCAATTTAGCTTATGAGATTAAAACCGTTTTGCACAAAAAGTATTTCATATGGGGTGTTCAAAATTGCAAGAAAAGCTTATTGTGCCATTTCAATATTCAGTGCTGATTTACTGATAGTGAGATTAAAACGTTGTATGCTTATGCTAATGATATGCTAACGAACCGAAATCATTCGCTTATATCGAAAGAAACTATAAATTTCTGACTGCGAATACCAGCTTGTCGTTTGGTTATTTTGAATTAAACAGTTCGGTGTTTGACAGTGCCCAAAGGATATCTTGTAAAGATATCAGGTCAATTGACAATAAATGCCGTCGTTAAAGCGAGGTTAATTTCCACAATTTGAGTTTTGATAATTTCAAACAGTGATTTTATCAATGACATTTTCTTTTCTCAGGGGGCTGGACACTAATCAAACAAGCAAAGTTAAACTCAACAAACCCACATCAATACGGACGCTTTATCTCTAACGAATATCAAGCAATTTCAAACTCAAGAGACATCAGACAAATGATTGAAACTACAGCCCTACAACAGTTAAGATTGCCGATGGGTTTCCATCAAATACGCTTTCGATGCAACAAGTACAGCACCGGACGAACCTTCCATATCATGACTAATAACGACACCGCTGGCCACAAAGTATTGGATCATTTCCTTATTACAGCAACGTGGCCGACTGCTTGTGGCTCTTTCGTGAGACTTCCCGACGACACTTCGATTCTCTCTCGCAACTGCGATAAATGGGGTAGCAACAATATTGGAGTTAATCGTTGGGGAAGGGAAGGATATCACGGTGCTTTCAGGATTTACAATTCACCTATATTTTGGGAAAACAAGCATGAAGTCAGATTTGATTCTCTGCACCCTTACCACTGTGATGATATCATTGATACTGTGAGTGTTGGGGATATCTGGGAACTTTACTTCCGTTAGAATCAATTGTCTAGTACAGTGAGATAACTTGTTGTTTGTGTTTGTTAATTAACTTTCAGGGAACAGAGATGTTTTAGCTTCGTTTATGATCAATAGTCTCCTTCACGGTTACGTGCGCCATCTTGAAAGGTAGCTGTGCTTTTACATCAAAGCAAGACATGACAACCGTTGAGCGTGCAATGATAGATACCCTATTGTCTGTAGGTGTGAAAGAAGATCATTGCACGCTCAACTGTTGTCTCGCTTCGATGCAAAGGCACGGCTACCTTTCAACATGGCGCAGGGAACCGTGAAGAAGACTATTCTATAACTGAAATTATAACTTCATCTTGATTAATTGATATCTCTAGCTTCAGGTTCATGCCATATTCATTGAGCATCTTTCACTGTTCGTAATACGTAAAATTACGCTATTTTTTTATTTTTGGTTTTCACTCACGTCATAACAGCATGGCATCAAAATATAAAACATCTAAGCAGCTACTGTGAACCATTCAAAGTTACACAATTTGGGAAAATGTTAATCTAATCTAAAAAGTTGTTTTTGCAAAGAGTAATAAGCGAACGAACATGAGATGACTTAAGTGAGACTTTAAGTCCTACTTCAAGGACTCCAACATAGCGGAGATAACTTAAAAGCGAGAGAAAAATCTCCAAAATGATGTGTAGCTATTTGTTGAATAAACGTAATTCACGACTTTCAAAAGTGGCGCGATATGTCACGGTCGCGGTACTGTCTGATTGCACACGTGATGTAACTAATGTATTCCAGAGGGAGACGCTCTGCTCAGACAGGTGAGTGAAGCCGTGTTTATAAACAAAATAAAACCGCAGATGAACACGAAGGAATGGAACTTTGCAAATGTCCCGCGTGAAAGAATTAATTAGTTTCATAGCGTACTTTGCTGCATAAACCTTGTTGTTTAATAAAATAAAACCCAATCTCGTTCCAGAGCCCGCGTTCCTCTTGGCCTGAGGGCGCGAGCAACCACGAACTCTGTCCTAATCCATATTTTGCGCGCTTTTCATTAGTCGATAGAATTTCCTCATTACGAATGCGGACGTCGCCGGAAGTAAAATTTGACCAATCATAGTTGCGAAAAACAGCGCCAAAATTCGGGCGCGAGCGCGACGAGGAGGCCTAGCCCCACTGAAGATGTTGCAAACTTATAAACAAAAATTAATTGTTAAGTGTAGCAACAGAGTGTAGCAATGTCTTCTCCGAAGAAAGCGGCSACGCAGCAAGTTTATAATACTTGTAGACTTTGCAATAAACTTTTAGATCGCTACAAAGTAGATTTGTTTGGAAACAAGTCGAWGAGAGAGGGCGTTTTAACGTCTTTGCAAGATATATGCTCAGTAGATAACATACATGAAGACGACGGTTTCTCTGGATATTCATGTAGACTGTGCGCCACAAATCTCGTTAGTATTAGCGAAAAAATTCAAATTCAAAATTTCAAATGTCTTTACCGGCAAACACGACAAAACTTTCTAAAATTTCAAATTGTTTGGTTTTRAAAGCTAAATTTGGCATTCCTATAGCCGCTAGACCGTGGTCTAGCGAACTATAAAAAAACATGTTCCGCCATTTTTCTTTTTGACACGCATGCGCAATTTAACCGGAACACCAGAAAATCTGATGAAAAATATGGATTAGGCCAGAGTTCGTGGTTGCTCGCGCCCTCAGGCCAAGAGGAACGCGGGCTCTGGAACGAGATTGAATAAAACCTAGCTTTCGACCTACGCGGTCATCTTCAGGGTTAATTAGTTGTTTTCTATGCGCGCTTGCCTCTCTTTTTGCATTAGTGCGCACTCCCTATCAATGTTTGTTTACGTACTATTCTACAACTCTTCGATATATTTAGTATTTTGGCCTCGCAAGACTTTGATATTAATTTCATCTTGATTTCCTCAAGTATGTTAAGGCTTGAGTTTTTCGGTCTTGACGCACGATCAGCTTGTATTGTCTGTAAAACTAGTTTCGTTTTATTGCAAAACCTCCTCAGTTACAAGACTTTTCTAATATAACATCCGTTGTATGCGTTATTTAAAATATGCATTGCACGCTCACCGATAGCGCGCTAACGTTCTTCTCGAAGAGTGCGTAACAAAACATAGACTATTCAACTATCGCCCGTGGCAAACTAAAAGTGTTCCATTCAGTTTTAGTGTTAATAACACCGTCCTTCATTATCCTAACGGATTCCGCTATTTGCCTCATCATCGCATCATTGCCGTAAACCCCCGTGACCTTCATCCTGAAATTAGCTTTATTGCCTTGATGCACGTCTTTGCAGTGTCTTTTTAACACAGACTGGTTGTTGTTTTCGCGATCAAAGTCCCTTAGGTGTTCCTTTCCTCTAGAATACGCACTACGGGATGTCTCCCCAACATATTTCTGGCCGCATTCACTACACGTTATGTCATAAGTTACTCCAAAAGCACTACATGGGCCTTGACCTCCCGTACTACATACAAAGCAGTCCACTCTGTTACACTCTTTCTTCTTGAAGGGGTCTGACCTCTGGAGAATTTGTTTGATACTTTGTCCCG